CATATTTCTGCCACTTGTCTGGTATGAAAAGCACAGTAAAAATCTCCAGACTTTCTTTGTGGCAATACTGCCTGTCAGCATCAGTATGTTATGGGAAGATCTAATAGACTCATAAAATATCATGGTTTTGAGCTATACTTGAGGTAGTCTGTACATTTGTGATCTAGTTTTTTCCTTTCTTTTCTCATTTGTAAATAAAGGATGATAAATAACTTTGATTAAACAGACTAAACTGACCAGATGGCAGTGGGTTCAAATGAAGTGAAGATGAGCTTCTAACAGGTATTAATTTGACATGGTAGTTTTCCATTCACTGCTGCCAAAGTCATGATAGCTACTTCTCTCAGTAAAAGTACAGGCGTATCCTCTTAGCTTGTATTTTTCAATGACTCTTTAAAATCAAAGCCCACAGAGGCAGGAAGGTGGATTTGAAAGTAACTGAACTGCTGGGCTCAGAGGGTTGTGATAGCAAGACAGAGGCCAGCTGGAGGCTGTTCAGTATTTGGAGTCCCCTAAGGGTGCTGGGGCTAATACTGTTTAACCTCTCTATAAGTGAACTGAAGGTTGTGGGATGGAGTGCAGTCTCAGCAAGTTGGCAGATTATCCCAAATTGGGAGTTTGGTACACCAGGTAGTTGTGCTGCAATACTTGGACAGGCTGATGAAGTGGACAGAGAGGAACCTCATGAAGTTCAGCCAAGGGAAATGCAAAGCCCTGAGCCTGGGAAGAATAACCCCATGCTCCGGTACAGAGGCTTCCTGGCTGGAAAGCAGCTCTGCAGAGAAGGATCTTGGGGTCCTGGCAGTCAAGTTGACCACAAGCCAGCACTGCAGTGTCACAGTGAAGAAGGCCAACAACATCCCGGGCTGCACTGTATTAGCATGGTCAGCAGGTCAACAGAGGTGACCCTTCCCCTCTGCTCTGCAGTGGTGAGGCCACATCTGAAGTGCCGTGTACAGTTCTGGGCTCCCCAGTATAGGAAAGACACGGGCATCCAGGAATAAGTCCAGGGAAGGGGCCCTATGACCATTAAGGGACTGGAACATCTGACCTACGAAGAAAGGCTGAGAGAGCTTGGGTTGCATAGCTGCCTGGCCTGGAGAGGAGAAAGCTCAAAGCAATATTGTCTGCAAATACCTGATAGGAAGGAATGAAGAAGTTCGAGTCAGGCTCTTCTCAGAGAGTCTCTCTGAGTTTCAGGGTCTCATCAATGCCCAGTGACAAGACAAGAGACAAGGGCACAAACCGAAATGCAGGAAATTCTGTTTGAACATAAGAAAAGTCATTTTACTGTGAAAGCGATCAGACACTGAAACAGGCTGCCCAAAGAGCTTGTGGAATCTGTCTTGGGGATATTCAAACCTGACTGGACATGATCTTGAGCAGCCTGTTCTTGCTGCCCCTGCTTTGAGCTAGTGGGTTGGAAAAGACAATTCCTAGAGACCTCTGCCAGCCTCACCCGTTCTGTGATTTCCTCCATCCATAAAAGAAATTTTATGAATCAGAGACAGACCACTGATATTTTTAAAAGACAAACTAGGACTGCTCAGTCCCACTTGCCAGACTTGTACTGTTCTTCCATTGCTTGATCTCTTTTGAGTCCACAGGGTCTTGTCATTCGTTAGCTCATTCTTTCCTTGCCTGTGGTCTGCGCTTATTGCTCACCTACACACCTTGTTCTTACCATCCTAGTTCCTCATCAAGTCCTTGGAGAAATATTCATTTCCTTGACTTTTCTTGCCTTGACTTTCATCTAAGAGTTCACCAGTCTCCTCATAATGTTTCCTTCATCCTTAACCCCAGTATTTAATTGTCATGGCCTAAAAACCCAGATCCATGTTCTAGACCAGGAACTGCCTGTGCTTGTAATTTGACTAGAAAATAAGTCAAAAGATAGTGTAGCAGTTGTGAAGTTAATATTAAAGTTATTTTGCTTCCTCTTCATTGTCCTTCCTCTTAGGTGTTGTGTAGTCTTTGAACTACATCATGAGAGAATTGTCATTATTGCTTTAGAAATATTGCAACAGTTCATACCAATTTAATATTAGCCAAATAATATCTAAAGTGCTATCTTCCAGACTAAGAAAAATGTAAAAACTAAGGTAATTAAAATTTGTACTTGCCTTTTTATTATAATGGTGACTGATGAATTGGAAACCAAATTGTCTTTAGGCTTGCAGTGAACTTCCCCAGGCAAATCAAAAAAGTAAAATTGGCAATGCTGACTTAATTCCTCAATCTGGCATATAGGTCTGCACTTCAAGTAAGCCTGGTGTTGGCCAGCAGATTTTACTTTTATTTTGAAACCAGATACATTTTAATTATGTTCCCTCTAGATATTCTCTTAATTAATTGGAAATATCCGAAGAGTTAATTAAAAATACAAACTTTATTTGATTCTATATCAAACCTGACATTATGATCTTTTTATCTACAAAGTAAGAATTATGTGGGATCAGAAATCTGAATTATTCATGATGGTTTCCAGCCGTTTTTTTCCTTCCTCCTTTGTTCAGTGTAAAATCTTATAAGCTTTTCTTTCAGTCAAGGTGAAAGCAATATTAAGTCTCGGAAGTCAAACTTACGAAAGACATGTAGCTCTGTGAAATCCTTGCCCTGTAATCCTGGCTTTCTATTCACCACCACTATTCAATATCCCACTTTCAGTATAAGCTTCACAATATATCAGCAGTTGATGAGATTTATTTGTTATACTCCTGTTTTCCTTCTTCATAAAGAAGCTTTATCCATCCCTTCACTCCCCTAGGAGTAACATATGTCTGTGATTGTTTCTGCTGGGCTCACTAATCCAGCAGCTCCCTTCAACATGCTGGGCAGTTGGTAGAGGGTGGAAGGTGAGGGAGGAGTAGAGCTGTACTTGTTAAGATTTAGGACTGCAATGTAGTGTGTAGTGAATTTTAAAAACATTGTTAAGATCCAGTTCAATGGTTATGAGCTAACAGGGTTGATTGTGTGAGTAGAAATGCTGGCAGGTCACTTCTAAAAGACGCTTTATGAATTAAAGCTTGACTGTAGTATGTTGAACCTCTCTACAGGACTAACCGGAATTATTTCTGGTCAGTTTGAAGACATGACAACAGATGAGACAGAAGTTGAGTCCGATCTATGCTAATGAGTTCTACATTTCCTATTTGCATTATTGCTCCTGATGCCTGTAGTGGCTCCATGTGTGTTTTTCTTACAGCCTCTGACTTCATCTGTGGTGATATTTTTCTCTTAAATAAACACATTTCTGTGTGGAAACATAAAAGCTTTCTTATTTGTTATTAGGATTGAAACCACAAAGAGTATTGTTGTTCTTAAGTAAGTTCTTTGTCTCTAACCTGCCTTTAAGGTGAAATTAAAACACAGAGAATTCAGTATGCAAATAGCATGCACACCAGATGATCTGAAGAAAGCCTGCACATTTCCATAGAAAACAAATGTGAGTGGAGGAAAGCAGATGCTTTCTACCAACGGAGTGTACATACAGTTCTCTAGAGGACCTGAGCAGCAATTTATTTTCAGACTGTTGGAAGTATGCAAATTCCTACAGAATTAAATGTGAATTTAAAAGAAATGGCATCTATTAAGGACAATACTACCCAAAGAGGCAATTGGGAACTTAATAATTTAATCAAGAACTTGAATAGGCTCAACCGTATCTTTGAAGTCAGTGACTCAAATGTCATCTGTTTTTAGCAAAGACATGTTGAAAAGATGTCTTTTAAAGTATGGGCATTTGGAGCATTTTTCTATGACCATGGACAAGTATGTTTGTATGGTGTGTATAGATTTTTGGATGATTCTCCATCAAAAAGCATCATCTGTTCACTTGAGCTGCTCATAGGATGTAGTCAGTGATACACGTGTGTGTATCACCAACATTATGTTGATTATTTTTAACCCAGCAGTTCTGGGTAAGATGAGTTATGTCCTGACACACATGGAATCCCCACAGTTATAAATTAAATTCTTACTGCTGGATGTTGTTGCACCTGATGGCTGTAGGACTGGACGGATGTTACTGAGATTACCATCTGAAGGCGAGGGCTGGGTCTGAAGTGCAGTGGCATAAGTCTTGCACGAAGGGATTGCTGGTGAGGCAGCAGTCAGCTGCATAGACGTGGGAGATATGTATGTTTTCCTTCTTTATGCAAAAGCACAGTGTTCCTAAAGTGGGGATGAGCATACAGGATGGCAGAGTTCAGGCTCGCCAGACACTCTTCCCTGTGACCCTCACAGCATCCACCTGCTTAGTTCGTCCTACTGCCTTTTTGTCTCTTAGCAATTCCATTTAATGACTCTGTTTGTACAGAGAGATGCCCAAGTGGGGTCAGGGAGGGCAGGAGATGATGTGCAACATAACATTTAGTAGAAATTTTGACAAAATGCTTAAGGTCAGATGTATCCATTTAGATGCACTGGAAGTGACAAGTTTTCAGTCCTTTTGAAAGCTGTGAAAAGGCAATGAAGGTCACTGCTTATAACTTTGGGAATTTGACTTTAAGCATTCATGTATGACAAGGCTTGGCCAGGGTTGTCATGGCAGGAAACTCCTTGTATGACCTGACCAGCCCTGCTGTGCTGGTAGTTTAATAAAGACAGTGAGTGGCTGGGCTGTGTCCTCCACCTCTCATACACTGCACAAACAAGGAACAAAGTAAACAGGAGTTTAGTGAGTGGGTGGATATAGTATTACCTCATTTCAGAGCAGAAATGCTTGAACTGATAACTAAAATGAACCTGGTCAGCAGGGAAGACACTGTGATCACAAGAGTGAGTTTGCTGGGTAAGGTCATCTCTGCAAGCGGAGTCTCCTCAGCCTTGTGAGTTACTCTTTATTTTACTCTGCTCGTGTGTTTTAAAAACAGAAATTACTACATCATGTCTATGGATTGAGCATAAAAGATTACCAGAATGTTCATTCTCTGGCTGTTTTCCACTGGTTGAGTCACCTTCTTACAGCTGAATAATATGTAATTTTTTTCTTCACACAGGTTGTAGTCCTCGGCAAACATTCTAGAGGCTATCACTACATGTTAGCTAACCTGGTAAGAACTTTTCTTCATGATAAGTATAGCTGCATTTTAGAGGGTAATATATTCTGTTCAGGTTGTGGCAACTTTAATAAGAAAGTGGAAATGCATGGATGAGTTCTTGGATTTTGAGAAATTACTTCTGTAAATACTAGAACTGGTATTTCATTTTTACTCAGTTATGGTCGTTCTTTGGTCTGAGAATCTCATATCCTCTACCAGTTTTAAAATAATAATTTAATTGTGTGCTTTGCACTGATTTCTGTCCTCATAAATTAAATGCTTGTGACTGTAATCTTCTATGTAACATACTTTATATTTAAGCACTCCAGGAAAAATAAGTTTAGCATATTTGTGTATAAGTGGTAAAAGGCTGCAAATTAGAACAATTCCATTAACTAAACCAGCCAAGCTGTTTAGCTTTTCTTTTGTATTTCAGACTGTAGGGTTGTGCCTTTGTATGTGCTGACCTACCAGGAAGAGGCAGTACATTTTTATTTGTATCAGAGCTTCTTCTGGATTGTAGGATTGACTTTCAGGGACTTCTCTGATGCCTTTGAAACACCATCTGCTTAAGTTCCTTATAAACATCTTGTATTGTAATTAATCCTGCAGAAAGACTCAGTTTTGAGTTCTGTGTCTACTGTGATTGGAAAAATGTTTTTCCAAAACTCACACTTTCTAGTTAGCAATCCTACTTACTCAAAGATTTTCTATATCCATGTTTTGGTGTGATTAAAGCAGAAAAGACAAATTTTTAAATTACTCTTATTTAGTATAAGTACTGTCTGACTTTAAAATGTGTCATTTTGCATTATAAGAACCAGTCATGATCTCACTGATTAGCGTGTGCATAGAAATACAGAGGTTCTTATTCTGGGTTGCCTTTTAGCATGTGTAACCATTGACATTCAGATAAACATGACTGCAATCAAGTCATACTAATCAAAAAGACTCCAATTTACTGCCTCAGGTATAAATAACAACAGAGTGGGAGAGAATCATCCCGTTCTGTTTGCAAGTGAAATGCTAAGAGATGCTGTGATGGAGAACTGCCTGGCAAGAGGTGTGTGCTTTGCCTCCACAGAACAGTTGAGTGTCGAGTGGTTTTCTGCTCCCAGCCCTGAACCTTCCTTTGCACTTTACTGTACAAATGGGATTTGAGGTCTTTGACCAGTTTCATCATGCTGAGGACAACAGAGGAAATAGTACTTCAAGTTCCCCCACAGTTTTCTTTCTGACTGGTGAACATTACGTACCACGTTGCCACAATCCAACAAGGCAGTTTTGTACTGAAAGAACAAAAAGATGTTTTAAATTCTATTCTGTCTCCTTGGTAGAATATTGTCAGCTAACAAGAGGGACATTAATCCATTTCTTTTGTGCTGCACTTGTAGCAGGTAAAACTGAGCCAAAGAAAAGGGACTTTGGATGACAATGATTCTCGTTTTTTACATGTGTCCTCCCAGGGTTTCACAGACATTGTTCTGGAGAGAGTAATGCATGGAGGTGCCAACATTACTGGATTCCAGATTGTTAATAATGAAAACCCAATGGTTCAACAATTTCTGCAGCGCTGGGTGAGGCTTGATGAAAGGGAATTCCCTGAAGCTAAAAACTCACCATTAAAGGTATTTATTTTAACCTGACAGTGATGGCAATGATATGCTTTTAATAATTATTTGTGACTTTTTAACCTCGGATATTTGCATGTGCATGATACAGATCCCTGATTAGACTATACTGCAACATTCACTGCCCTTCCAGAAGAAAGAAGCAGAGGCTGGTAGTCACACACAAGTGCCCACCATGGTGGGAGTTCCTTAGAGGCAAAGGCTTGGGCTTGCAAATCCTGGTGTTGTGCAGTGGATATAACAACTTTTGACTTGAGCTTCTTGAGTTAGTTTTGGGGTGGGGGTGGGGGCTAATTAGGTTAGGGTTTAGATGCAGACTGTGGATTACTAGTCCATTTAAATGGTAATAGAGAATTTCATGTGCAAAATGTAGTAGCTCTGAATTCACTGAGGAGCCACTGCTACCTCACAGTCACTGCTGACAGTTGCCCTCCTAATCTAACCCTGTATTTTGCACCTCTGTCCTTTACTTGAATAGTCTGGCCATTATATCTGCAACCAATAAAATTTTTCAATTTTTTTTGAATGGAAGTCCCAGGTTTACCAAAACTGTCATAGAGTGAGTGAAGTAAATGCCATTCTTATTAGGAGACTGGTAACCTGTTGCTATCTCCCCCAGATCTTTTTGTGCCTCTACTATAGCATCTCTGTAGTAGAGATGCTATTCACTGTCCAGTCAAGGAGTGCATCAAGGATACTCTGTCCAGGCATGGAAATTATAAAATCTTCTAGGACCACTGCATATTACTAATATTCCTATTACATTCCTTCTTTCTCTTCTTTTTGTGAGGCTTGTTCTTTTTCAACAATATCCATAGGTGAATGGATATTGGTCTGGTGGTAGATGAGAAGACCTTAAATTCTGTCACTCCCAGAAGTCCAGTCAGGGAAGCCAAACCTAAGAACCACAGCCATGATTAGACAGTTCATGTCTGTCCTGTTAATTTGGGTGGGACACATGCAAATTGATGAACAGATTTGGATTTCAAAATTACTTTGATAAACTGGGATCATGTCTTGGTATTAGTAAGACAAAATTCAGGAAAGCATTAAAATACTAGATATGAAGGAAAAATCTCTTCCAGTCCCATGCATGGGGGGTTACCAGGGTAGGTGGTAGTGCTGGGTTGGACTAAAGACACAACAGGAACCAGTTACGAGGTTCTGCTGCTTCTGGCAGTGCCATTCAGAGATACACTTTTCCATCCCTGGGAGCATATGATTTCTGTGAGGGAGGAAAATTATCTTAATCCCACACCATCCCACAGCCTTGGTGGGCATTTCAGAGGAAGAAGAGAAAGGCAAACAGAGGCTCACAAAGCCCAGATTAGTGTACTGTTGCCCGTGGATTAGGACCTAGTCCTGCTTTCTAAAGCTTCCTAGCAGTGATGCAGAAGTGAAGATAAGTATCATACTAATCTTAAAAGCTCTGAAATACATACAGTTAACCTGAGAAAATTTTATTCCACTTGAAAGCAATTTACCTTGAGGGAATAATTATTCTTCCTCCTTAACAAAGGTTCTTAAGTATATGGTACAAACACAAAGATTACCTTACCTTTGCACAAATGTATCGCTCATTATAGAAATGTGCACAGTATTTGTCAATCAGACAAAAAGCATACTTAAAAATTGATGTACAGTATTTTTGATTAGGAAATAAAATTGCCTAGAGATTAAAGCCCCAATGTTTAATTTATTCTGTATTTTATCAGCCTTTCCCTTCTTTCTCTCTTTTTTCTCTTTGCATGCTCATGCATTTATAAGTAGAATTCAAATAAAGTAGAAAATTAGATAGCTCTCTTGGCATGACTTGGAAGGGACTGCATTAAGGTTACTGACAATTGACGCAGTCTGCTGAAAAAATTATCAGTGTGTAAGTTTTATGTAGTGCTAGATTGGACAGCTATTACAAGATTTTTTTTTAATACAAGAACAAATACCTTAAAAATACTGTCTGGTTCTGTATTGTTGCGTGGATTGTGACGTATAACCTTTGTTAACTTTCTAAAAGAGGAGAGAGTAATCATTGCAAAGCACTACAGGGAGAGGTGCAGGTGGGCATGATCAGAGAATGCCTGTGCCTTTACAGTCAGAGCAGGAACCACCATACACACCCAGTAAGAGTTTATAAACTGTTGTTGTTTAAAGGTCAGTAAGAATGTCTGCTGTATAACGTTTTTCACAGCCCTACCTTTGCACTTTTTTTTATCAGACAGAATTCTCTTGATCTGCACATGCAGACACCTCACTGTGTGCAGAATTCATAAGGGCTTCTGTCAAACTGAAGGATAACACACAGTTTTAAGAAATGCAGACCTTCAGTTGTGCTATCCTGCCCTACAGGATAGAATTAACTTCTTCCGAATCGGAACAAGCAGTTGAAACTTGGATTTCGGCCTAACTCGTGCATGGGCAGCACGTCTTCTGGCACGAACTCCAGCATCAGGTTCCTTGGGAGGCAGGGTCTCTGTGGTACCACAGACTGCCATAAGAAGGGCAGGAGCACCAGTACACACAGATCCCTCTTACATTCTTGTTTTTTCCTCTTCATCCTCTTACAAACGCTGTGGAAATATGAAGGATCAGTTACAAGAGGGTTGAAATCTGGTCTTACACACTGAACACATTTGATTGCTCCCAGTAGGTGTGTGCTGACAGGGTCTCCTCTACACAGACCCTGAAGTTAGAGGTGTAATGCCAGTGAAAGCCAGAGATGTCACATGCAAAGTCCAGGAGGGACAAACTTCTAGACAAACACATAAATGTGGAAAAAATGTGAAAAAAACCCCCACTTCCATAACATTTCCTAGGAGATACTAAATTTATAGCACCAGGGGGTGTCACCAGATATATGTGACAAGCAGTGGATGAAGTTGACAGCAGCATGAACAAGTAAGTTGTCTGGGAGTTTTGTTCAAGAGCTGCTGCTACACACAGTTTCCCACCCTCTGCAGATTTGCCATGGAGTAAGGGAAGGCAGGTGGGAAATTACTGAAGAGATGTAATGCCTAAAGTGTATTTTGTGATTGCTTGCCTGTATAGCTGTTTTCTAAGAAAACTAATCTGATCTGTTTCTTGCCACAGATGCTACCTAATCAGAATTGTGATCCAAGCAGAAGTGATTTATGTTAACTTCAGTTCAAAGCTGTCTTGGCAATCTTGTTAAAAACAAAAAAAATTACTCCAAGCAAAAACCCACATATGAGCTTTTCTTTGGTAGCAGTATGGTCCAGCATGGAACTGCAGACTTTTGTACTAACCTCATTTAGATGAGGTTTCCAATTAAATTGAAATTTTGTGCAACTATAAACTGGTTTTGTTATTTTGCTGCTATATATGCTATACAAAATGAAAATATTTTTAATTTGTTAATTGAAATAAGTTGAATTTTTAAACTAACAAATCACCAGCTGAAAGACAGGGAGCAAGCAAATGGCTTGGCAAGCGTGATTCTTGTAAGAGTGTTCTAACAAAGAGGAGGACTTCACCTGACACACGTGGGGCAGTTCTAAGATTGCAGTTTGTCACCATCTTCTCTTTGCCCCGATTGCAGTACACATCTGCACTGACCCACGATGCAGTCCTAGTCATAGCAGAGGCTTTCCGTTACCTCCGAAGACAGCGTGTGGATGTCTCCAGGAGAGGCAGTGCTGGAGACTGCCTGGCTAACCCTGCAGTACCATGGAGCCAAGGAATTGATATAGAAAGAGCGCTGAAAATGGTAAGGGCGAGTGTGCTGGCTAATGAATGTGTGTGTTCCACAGCAGCAGCAATTCTGCTGGGACCACGCTTGTGTCCTGCTCCGTGTACACAGAGCTCCTGCCCTCACACAAACAGCTGCAGCTCCTCGGGGGAAAAAAGAAAGTGAAAACAAACTTAATGACAAGCTCCGAAGGGTGGATAAAATGTATTCAATGGAGAGCAAGGCGTAACAAACTAGCTCTCAAAGCTTCGGCCACAATCTCATCCCTCTAATACTGGTGCAGCAGCTGCCTGGTTGTTCACACCAGAGCACCCACAGTCCCTCAGATCCCCTGTCACACCCCAACTTCCCCTGAGAGTGAGCATGAGCCTTTTGCAGTCAAACATGTATTGGGGGTTTCTAAAGTCTGAGCCTGCAAATCTGACTAAGAGAACTAGAGTGGGTCTACAGCATGTGTATTGTAAATCTTGCAGGAATACGTGTATTTGTGAATTAAAACACAAGTGTGCAGTTTTGTTAATTTGACAGTAAAAAGTCAACTCAGATTGGTTTAAAGCAGTGGAAGAATTGTTGTTGGTCACAGCAGTACTGCTGGATTTCAGCACCAGCCTGAACCTTGACACAGTTTAACCTCCAACCAGTTCTGATTCCTGGCATAACACTCAAACAGATTACCTGCTGCATGGCCAATTTTTTATCCCTGACACTAGTAATAATATAGGATCTTACCTCACTTATGTCTCTAATTTTGTTGATTTTTCACTCTTCTTATGCTGCTATTTGTGTTAAAGCTATTGACAATGAAAAAAATTGAATAATGTTTTTGTAGATACAAGAGACAAAAACTCTGCTTTTGATCTGGCTCAAATAACTCTCAAATAAACCTGTTAGAATTGATTATATTAATGCAGACATAGAGCTGGAGTGAGTGAGATCAGAATTAAGCCCGTGTTAGGTGTAAACAAATGCTAGGTCAACCTTCATACACTTGGCTTAATTACTGCTTTTTCTCAGTTACCAAATTGTTAAGGATTCTATCAGGAGGTTATAATGAATTGTGGACAGTTGTAATCAGATTATATTGCTCTTAGGAGTGAGAGAGGTGGTTCAGTCTCACATAAAAAGAGCCAGAGCTCTTTTTTATACCATTTTGTCACTTCCTAACTGCACATTCACTAATGTAGTGTTGCATACTTTTGAAAAGAAATAACTAAATTCAACCTTTACAATAGTTAAAGAATTGGTACTGTCCATTTGAACTTAATTACAAGCAAAACATAAAACTCCTCTGAATGAGGTATGAAGTATTCATGTCAGTAGAGAAAACTAACACTTCTACAGGACACTCCCTTATTTAGGAGAATTTTTTTTAAAAAACATATTAAAAAATATTATAAAAAGCCAAACTCATGATTTGGCAAAAAATGCAGAAGTTTGACTTTTGGCTGGTTGCCTTATATTGTTTTAGCTATCCAAAGTCATGCAAGTGAGTTTTATATACACCTCCAACAATAGCTACCCAAGATCATCCCACACTGCCTTCCAGTCCCCATCCTGTTCCATCACCCTCTCTCCTTCTGTTCAGACAATGATCTTGAATCTTTGCTTAGGGAAAAAAAAAAAACAACTCTGATTTAACAATGTTTCCTCTCTACTCTGTAGCATCAACTCAGATAAGAATATTTTTTTCTGAGATATCCTTGAAATATCCATCCCCTGCCAGCAGAAGGTTCAGTGCCACACTATAGTCATCCTGCTGGCCAAAGAGAAATAGGCATTACTTGAATCTTCTTCCCTACAGCCTTGAAAACTGCGCATGTCTTTGCTTCTGAAGCTGGTTCTAAGACATGAGGTCAGTGGCAGACAGTTTGCCTGAGCAGATCTGGACACTTATAAATAGTCACTGTGTTTGTGATTGCCTCCACATGCTGCTACCAGAAGAGTTTCAGTCCTGGGTGAGCCTTCCTGCCTCGGTGCAGCCAGGTTTTGCAAAGTGCTGAGTTTTCCCACCAAAGATAGAAACAAATTAAATTTGAAGTCCAGAGGTGTCCAGTGCACGAAGCTCATGTCTCAATGCACATCAGGATGAAGTTGGTCTAACAAGCTCTGCTGGGACACACAGTCACTGCTGTGCTAAGGTAGCCAGACAGCTTCCAGCAGGAGCCAAAAGCAGGCACAGCAACTCACATCTGGATGCAACTTATGTGTCAACTACCCCACAAATACATTTGCTCAGTCCACAGCTGATAAGACCTCTTAGGGTCAAATTTGGTTTTCAAAATCCATTTCATCTGTCTAGCTTTCTGGAGATGAATAACTCACATTTTCTTCCAGCCCCCTGTAATGATATAGACTATTTTAAGAAAGGTTCAAATCCATTTACTCGTATGTCAGTCTGAATTTGGCTCACTGGATAATTTGGGGTCCGTGGAATTTTGGTTATTTTATGTATCCTTGTCCACCATCTCTAAACTGTGAACAGCAGATCAGTCACCAGCCCTGAACAGTTTGCCTTTGACTAGTCTAACATCACTTCTTCCTGGAACTTCCACAGTTTTTGCTAAATATTAAAGCTAATTTACCCCTCCTGAAGTTTGAGACTGTTACCTCTTCTGCCTGAGATGACAGCTTGTCAGTGTTGCTAAGTGATGTGAGTGAAAATACCTCATCCTTTAATACAGGGAAATAAGAAAGACTTCTTCTTTGAAATGAGGTACTTTATACTTCCCCTTTGGATGATTCATGTGAGTAGGCAACGCTAATGACTTACCGTCTGCACACCCATCCATCCCGACCGAGACCAAAACTCCATAAGCAGTAGAGGCAATTGTCTGTGCTCATTCAGAGAAGACATTCATTCCTTTCTCCTGCACTGGGACTGATCTTAAAATAAAGCACTTCCTGGAATGTGCTATGTCAGTCTGGTCCACACTGCAGATCGCTCTGTACCATGTTGTGAGGGGTTTAATGGCACTGAATTGTTGCTCGTGCCTCGCTGGTGCTCCGTGCTGTACCAGTGAACTCAGCGTGACCAAGCGTGGCAGAATCAGTCTTTCTTACATTTAACATACCTGCAGGGCTAATTTCACCTAAATGCAGCTCACTCTGCAGCAGTGAGTCACCAGCTGAGTACTAACTAACAAATATGTACAGCTGGAACTGAGAGAATTTGGATTGGTTTTGTTTTGAAGAATATAACTGGCTGTGTCAAAAGCATTACCAGGCTCTTACATAGGTAAGAATTGGGCTAGGGCTAGTAGGTTCCTGCAAAATATAACAGAGCAAAAAAATAAAGTGAATCGTTTATTAAAATGTTTTTCCTGTTTTTTCCCTTAAGGTGCAAGTACAAGGAATGACAGGGAACATCCAGTTCGACACCTATGGGCGGAGAATGAATTACACCATTGATGTGTATGAAATGAAAGCTGGTGGGTCACGGAAGGTGGGTTTCAAGATATGCATCCAGATTTCACACCTTCACCAGAAACTAATGAAACAAAAATACCATAGAGGCAGTGTAATAATGGGGCCCTGAGAAATCCCCACCTTCTCTGCTGTCTTCCCTATCCCAGGAACCTTCTCTATTCAGTTCCTGGACTAAACCACTCACCTTGCTTAATATCTTCATTGGTTTCCATGTCAACTTCAGGCACAACTTCTTCTTTTAAAACCCTTCTGGAGGTTTTCCACTGCCAAGCATAATACCTGCTGTCATGCTCCTGTGCTTAGCCTTCTCTTCTAAATTTTTTCAGTCTTTCCTTCCCTAACCATATAGTGCTTTAGAGCCATAGTGAAGCTGGAAACAGTGAGACCTTCTGAAATTAACAGGAAATGTTTGATTTTAGTTAGAATTTCCTACTCATTCTCTTGTCTCCTAAATAAATTGTAGATCCTAAGTGGGATAATTGTCTAGTTCTGTGTTGTAAAAGACGTTTAAGGCAGATTTTCAAAAATAATTAGGTGGATAGGGTCACAGAAGTACTGAGAGAGGAGTCTGCATAGCTGAGTCTCTTAACTCCCCCTGACTTCACCCGTAGATAGGTACCTAACCTGCTTGGTCACCACTGAGACTCCTTAAACACTTCTGCACATGTTTGATAACAAAAAGCCTGTGGACGTGGCCCAGGCACTCATGTAGGTGTACAGTGCAGCCAACAGTGTTACTTCTGTGTTGTGCAGAAATATAAAAACTAGTGTAGTAGCCTAGTGGTGTAGCCACAGCACCACGAAGGTCAGCACTAGCCAGCTGATAAACAGTCACCTCACAAAGGGGTTTGTATCCTGTACTGAAGATAAAGCTGCTGTGCCTGCATTGCTGACAATGTCTGCATCTGCTCTCAAGCCAGTTCAGGAAGGTCTGCAGGGGCTGTATTCACTGGCCAAACTGCAGCAGAATATGGATAAAAATTACAAAATCAGAGAACTTTATTCAGAATGCTGTGCAGTTTATTTTCTTGCCTGTAGTATATTCTTATGCTGTGGAAACATGGGAATTTATTCCACAGGCACCATGATGATGTTGATTGAGATAGGGGAATTTAATATGTATTTTCACTTTGATTTGGCTTGTGCTTATTTGCTCTTGGGGTTGAGAACATTATTTCTTTAAGGAAATTAACTTAAAGCTAATGTGGTACTTTAATGACAGAAACAGAAATGTGAGAAATGTTACAAACCCATATGTTTCGACAGTTTCTTTTAGAAGTTCAGGTACCAGAGTCCTTGTAAAGGTGTGTAATGAGATAACAATCTCCATTTTTATAGGCTGGTTATTGGAATGAATATGAAAGATTTGTGCCAGCATTAGATCAGCTCCCCTCTAATGACAGCTCATCTGTGGAGAACAGAACTATAGTAGTCACTACCATCTTGGTAAGTTTTATGTTCTTAGTGTGTTTGTGTTTAGGAAACACAAAGGTGTGTTAGACACCTTGCCAGGAGGCAGATGTTGAATACTGTGTGACTTCAAGTGACTGGAAAGTTCAGTATCTCCCAGAGATGTTCTGAGGGCTTGACCCTGCAAACTTATCAGTAAGTTTGCTCACTGGAGGAGCTCACTGAGCTCACCATTGTGTTTTGCTGCTTCTCAGACACTTGAACTCAATTAAATGCCTCATGTAAGTGAAGTTATTGTGCATGTATGTAAATGACCACAGGATCTGGCCTTCCTGCTGTAGGGTCAAATCTTGCACCCCTCACTCAGGTACAGCTCCTGTAAACGCAACCCCTGTGGACTGAGTAAGGGTGGCACAATGAAGCCTGTAGAGAACTGGAACTGCTCTAGCACTGTGTGAAAAGCAGCCTATACCTGTGCAATTCCAAAGGAGCAAAGCTCTTCCTGTGTCTCACGAGCAGCAGCACCTCCCAACGCCTCTACAGACCTGCTCTGTACAGTATTCATTGTGACTTTTGTGCCTGTTACAGTTCTGCTAAGCATGAGCCAATTTTATGCTATTTCCTGAAGCATTGTATTTTATACTCCTATGGATTTAGCGAGATGTAACCAGCATTTCAGCTAGAATTTCCCAAGAAGGCTAAGGGAATTCAATGATAAAAAATTCTGCTGAGGATTTTAGCCTAGATTCCCTTAGGCTGCTTCGGAAATACTTCCATCAGAGCCCCATTCTAGACCACTGGGGCCTTAAGAAATGATGTTGATGGTACAGGTGTTGGGTATGTCAGTCCTTAAACATTAAAACCTGAATTATTACTGCAGTGATGCTATTTGACTGCCTAATGAGGCCTGCAAACAGAAGTGTAACTTTGTTTAAAAATCCTGCTGTCTTCAGTGGGTCCGTACTAGGAGTGCAATCAACAGTATGTGTGGCTGTAGGATCAGCCAAAGATTTTTAAACTGCAGAAGTCTGTCTTTCTAATTTCTGTACCAAAGCAGGAAATATTGTAAATACTAGCCAGTAATATAAAGGATAATAACAACTCTCATTGTGTGTGGTTTACAGCTGTATTTTACATTCATAGACTTTTGATCTTTACTTTTGTTTCAAAGGAATCACCATATGTAATGTATAAGAAAAACCATGAACAACTAGAAGGGAATGAGAGATATGAAGGATATTGTGTAGACTTAGCTTCTGAAATAGCAAAACATGTTGGAATAAAATACAAACTGTCAATTGTTGGAGATGGGAAATATGGAGCTAGGGACCCTGAGACTAAGATATGGAATGGCATGGTGGGTGAACTGGTCTATGGGGTAAGTTTCTCTTAACCTTCATTTTAATGTTCTTTATAAAAAGTTAATAAACTGCAAAATAAAGATCATCTGTTTGAATACTACCTTTAAAATTCTAGATATTTCTTTGTAGAAATTTCTTTTAATAGTTTACTTTTCTAATTGTTTCATTGCAGGAAAGTGTCACTTTTTTACTACTGTTCCTCCAATCAGAGTCCACAAAATGTTGAGAAGTAGCACTGGGCATATTTCAAATTCTTGTTTAAAGCAGAATTTCCAGTTTGCCCTTCATATGCTGCTGCTTCATTTGCCACATCTCCTTTTTCTGTATTAGTCTCTTAAGTGCTGGGAGGGTGTCCCTCCCATTAAAGGTCTCATCTGTGATTCTGGTCCTCGTTGAGTCACTGATGCTGGTTTGTGTTTGACCAGAGACTAAAGACTCAGTTAACCCCAAGGTTGTTTTTATCTTTTTTCTTTTTAAACCCTTGATTTGGTTTTAAAAATCAACTGGCAGACAAAAAAAAAAAAAAAAAACCTAATTCATTGCATTCCTCTTTATATTTCTATATTGGGTGTACATTGCTTTGTTTAGTAAGAACAAAAACAGTCCGGAATTACCATTTTAGAAACTTCTTTGAAAATGAGAATTTTGGAATACAGATAAACCAGATGGAAGGGGGAGAAAATTGGCTCTGCAGAAAAGACTTTTCAAGCTGATATTTCATCTTTGCTTTTTTTTTTTTTGCCCCAAATGCTAATGAGATGATTTGTGATTCCGCCCAAATCTTTTTTACAGTTTATTTTTAACAAGCTTTCCTCTATTAAAAATATCTGAGCAGAAGCGAATATTTCAATTGCTTCCTTTTGTTCCATGGCTGAGTGTAATTTCTAAAAGTCACCTCAAAATTTCCTTGGGATAATACATCATCATTCTTGCAAAATGTTTGGTGAGATAATTCTTTTCAAATGAATCAGTCTTCTTAAAATAATTACTAGATTTGCAGAAGTTTTCTTACTCTGGAGCAGTCAGTTCTGATGCCTTATTATATATGTGGTAGTCTCTTCAACCTCAAAATATTTTATAAAAATAAAAATGTTTTTGTGGTATCATATTATGGCAGGAAGGGAAATGTACTGATGAGAAAGTAAACAGGGGGCTGGATGCCTGGATTACATCTTTGCTTCCCTGTTGCACTGAGGTTTGACGTTAAGCAAACCTTCTGAACTCCCCATGCCTCAGTTATGCAACTTGGGAAACTGATGTTGGCTCTGTTAGAGAACACAAGTCCATTGAGAACCTCTGAAGCAAAGGTTTCATTTAGTTCCGAGCAAATTACATTGCACTGGAAATCTAAACCCTCAGTTTCTCTGTGTGTGGTTCAAGAAATATCAAGAATATCAGCTGTAATTGGGTCCTTTTGATCTATTTTCGAGTGACAAGCAGTTTATTCACTTAAAAAAATAATCATACCATAGGCAAAAAGCAAGGCAAAAGAGAACCTGAACTTGCTGCTAACAGTCAGGCACAGGGACTGTCTGCACTAGAGGAGGAAAGGTGTGGTGTGGGCAACTTCTGATGGGACTTGAGCCGAGTAAGATGAGCCTGTGCAGCTGCTGTGCTATGTAAGATCCATCGGGATAAAGGGCCACAAAAATGCTCAGAGGGGTGGAGCACCTCTTCTATGAGAAAAGGCTGAGAGAGTTCAGACTGTTCAACCTGGAGAAGTAAAGGCTCCAGGGAGAGTTTAGAGCACCTTCCCATATCTAAAGGGGCTACAAGAGAGCTGGAGAGGGACTTTTTACAGGAGTGTGTAGTGATAGAACAGTAAGAAATGCCTTTAGACTGAAAGAGGGTAGATTCAGATTAGATATTAGGAAGAAACTCTTTACTGTGAGGGTGCCAAGGAGCTGGCACAGGTTGTCCAGGGAGGCAGTGGATGCCCCATCCTTCGAAACATTCAAGGTCAGGCTGGACAGGGCTCTGAGCAACCTGATCTCATGGAAGATATCCTTGCTTGTTGCAGGGAGGTTGGCCTAGATAATCTTCAGAAGTCCCTTCTAACCCAAACAATTCTGTGATAAACAGGTTGGCTGCAGCTGCCTTTTCCACAACCCCTTGGGACGAGCCTTGCTCAGAGAGCTCTGCCTCCTTAGCGTCAAACTTAGCCCTGTCCACATCCCTGTGACCAACCATACTCGTGACCTTTCCACACCAGCAAGACCAGCCCTGCAGGCACCACAGACCATAGTTTAAAACAACCCCAAACCCACCCCACCATGTCATTTTCCCCTGCAAAAAGGTCTGTTCCTTTGTATTCTGAGCACAGTTTGCATCTGTGTTTTCTTGTTAATGAAAAATTGAGGAATGTTTTCCTCCCTGACCCCCAACAGCTCCTGTGTGCAAGCTGTGAGCTCTGTTACTGAAGCCTCTTCGCTGCAGTGCTCAATTATTCAAAGGTCAGAGTCGTCCCGTGAGGTTTGAGTGCAGGCCCAGGTTAATTCCTACAGCCCTGCTCTGCTGAGCCAGCTCCCTGGCCTGCCAAGCTGAACTGACTGGCAAGCTCCATGGAAATCCACCTGGATTTCTGTAAGCAGAGGAAACAGCCCATGAACTCTGAGTGCAAACCTCACCAGCCCTCCAGACCTTTTCCCAGCTCTGTTTGCAAACATCATGAAATACCCTTGGCCTCTTCCTCCATCTGTTGAGAGGGGGCTGTGTACCACACTCACGAGGACATGCACTAAGCCCTTTGAAGATGAGAAATGCTCTAGAAGTGCTAATTATTTGGAGCAAACGCCTCATTTACGTACTGACTTTCCTTTATCTCTCAGGGGCTTAAAACTCTATTAGGGAACTAAAACTGTATGTTACTCTAATGCCCTTGTGAGCCTTGTCGGCAAAATGACTGTCAGATTTGGCTCCTCTGGATTCCATTTTGGGAAGACAAGGAGATTAGATTTTAAGTGTCTTTATTAGCATGTATGGAAGACAGACTTGGGGGGATAAAAGGGTCCTGATTGGTTTTGGTACCAGTTATCCAGCAGCTGAGCTGAGTTGTGGCAGAAACACAATCCTTTAGATTGCATTTGTCTCACGTAATAAACAGGGACTAGTCATTTGTCAGATACAGTGAGTGTATTCCTGACCCAACAGTCTCCTTACCACCACCTGGCACTGCTGGGGCTTTTTGAATACTGTGCCCTTTTTTGCTTAGCCCCATGCATACGACTCTTTCCTAAAATTGCTCTTAGGACAGTCATAGGAAGTGAATGGCTTGTCATTTTAATGTCAAAACCCTAATTAACTATATTTAATGTTTGGTTTGTGCCAGTTCATTGTTACTGTCGCTCTTGCTTCCTGTGGAATGCAGCACAGAGCCAGGAGAGAATATGCAGCCTCCAGACCACTGCTTGGAGGGCTCTGAATGTCAGGGAGCAGAGGGATGGGTGGGATGGGAGGGGGCTCAGACTGCACTGAGCTGTACCCAGAGCAACAGGGGTGCTGTGTCACTGTGCTGCAGGTCCTGAGGCTGCCCAGCACAGCCCTGACTCCAGGGTAAGACTAGCCAGAGGTCAGCATTAACTAGGCTAACTGGAGCAGTCCTGGGAGTTACACATTGCCATTTACACACTAAAATACTTCCCATTAGAAATTCTCCCTCTGCTTTCTCATATCACGTCAGTGGTTGGAGGCATAAAAGTCTGCTGTGCCGTAGGGTCTCCGAAGTCAAGGACAATCTCAGCTCTCCCTCTTGGGCCTTTCCTTGCAGCTTTGCAAGGGCCTGTACCAATGCACCTGGTTACAGAGGGATGGGAGCCCTGGAGGCAGGGAGTTCTGCCTGAGCAGATATTCCCAAACTCCCTTGCTTCAGGCAGGAGAAGCCAGAAGTCTTGTTAGAGAGGAGCTAACAGGGCTTTGTGGTTTATTAGCAATTTTTAAATGTTGGTGATAGTAGTAGGAGTAGTAATGGTAGTAGTAATAATAATTAATAATGATAATGAAATTTGATGTAAAATGAAATTTATCTGATTTTTTGTAACTCAAAAAGTGTCAATTCAGGTTGGAAAAAAACCTTAATTTTGCTCTTTCATTCTGATGGTGTCAAAACAAGGCTTCATCCTATCAGAAAAAACTACCAATTCGAGCACTATTATTGTTTTAAACTAAGAGCAATTTCTAAAGCATAGTGGAAACTTTTGACAGAATAAAAATAGAAAATAGATAGAGCTTTTTTTTCCTGGACATTTCAGATGAGGGAAAGTAGCTAAATCATTCTCAGACCAGGAGACTGAATCGCTATTTAAATCTAACCAGCAGAGCAACCCAGCAGGGCAAGTGCTGTCCTCCAGTAACCCACGGGCTGAGGATGTGCCCTCAGCTGGGGCCGTGGAGCAGCAGCACCTCCCTCAGCACGGCCCCATGAGGCCGGTGCTCGGGGCTTTGTACCCACCAGCTGCTGAGCACTAGACAGTCGTCTTTTCTCTTCTGTGGGGTCAGCCTCTTTCTGTAGGCTTTTATTTCTTCTTTCCCTTTTAAAGCAGGCTGCTGTTCTTCCTTCCCTGTTCAGCCAGGGAAAGCCGTCCTCTCCGGCCCTGATGCTTTTCACAGCGCTGAGGCTAATTGACAGGAGGTTTAACACAGATCTTAATTGTAACTACAAATGCTTTGGGAATGAAAAGAGCAGCCAGACCTTACAGCCTTTAAAACTCTTCTCAGGTTAAAAAGGTCTTTGTAAAAACCTTTCAGTATGTAAAATAGCACAAAGGAATGAAACAGGGATGTAAAGGACAGGCAGTCTCCAGAATGTAGCAGTTTGTCAGAATGAGACCACCAACACATCTCCCTGCCTTTAGTAGGGAGTAGACTGACCAGCTTCATGTGGTGCTGGCCTCTCAGGCTCTCCCAGCAGTTGAAGAAATGCTGCAGATGGCATCTACAGCCTTTGAATTGTAGGAGAGAGGAAGACTAACTCAATTCCTAGTTCTCATCAAAATGTCCCATGTGCTCTTAGTCCGTGGCAGAGCCTGACTGTGCCATGAGTGGGTGGGTGAAGCTTTCCATTCCCTCCTCACCCCTGGTTTCTGCCATGGTGGCACTGCCACGCAAGGGGACAGGATCGCAGCTCTGGCACAGAGCCACACTGCTGTGGGCCCAGACTCTGGCTGACCTGGGTCTCAGCACAGACACAGGAAGCACACATGCCCACAGCTCCAGAAGCAGATGTACCCTTTATGTCTCCGTCTGCATGTGGCAGTAGTGTGTCAGAAAGAGCTGTGGGCATCCACATAAAGCACGAATGGACTTAACATTGACAAACTGCAGCAGACAAGGCCAACTGCCCTTTTAACACCTTAATACCTTTTTACACTGCTCAGCTAGTACACATTAAGATTTCAATGCACAGCATGTCCCTAGTCAGATATCAGCTGTTGGTTTTAAATAAGTGTGAGCTAGTGTGTTAAAAGCACATTGCCCCCATGACCTGGCCTCTCAACACACCCCAAATATCCTTGGGGATACTGGCCTGTCTTTACAAAGTTAGCTTTTGCCAGCAAATACCACAAGTGATGTGTTGCTCTGTCTGACACTCTTTTCTCATACCTGGAAACCTCAGACTGCACTGAGAAGTCTTAACACATGCTCAGAGTCAGTCACCATTCCAACACAGTCTCTTCTGATGCCTCAGAGTACCTGTATTCAGCACTTTTGGGGTGCCCAGATGTTTGGCTGCCAGTGGAAGTCAGACAGTGTCTCTTTGCTTCAGTCTGCACACAGTGCTGCCTTGCTTGCCGTCACACAAAGGTCTTGCAAAGTGACTGTAGCTCAGACTCACTTCTTGCAAATTGACACACGAGCAAAGGAGTTGTTCAGTTCTGTGGGCAGGAATGACCCCAAGCACGTGCAGGCAGGAACATAGCCTGTATCTCTTGCTGTCTCTAGTGCATAGCTTTGAAGTTAGGGAGAGTCATCTGTAAGCAGAAGAATTCCATCCCTCCTTTTGGATTACAGAGGTGGAACATCTTATCTTTTTTCTTTTCCACATAGAAGGGGATTTCCATTTGCTATTTTTTCTCCTTCCCCATAAGAGTCTTGAGGTTTGCAGCTCCCTGGGGTCAGCTTTGAGCAGAGTGGGCAGCACCTCTGTGCTGCATGTCCTCTCTAAATCCATCCCTCCCACACTAGTAGGCAAAGACAGAACAAGCCTCAGAGGAATCCATGACATTTCTCGCCCAGCTCAAATGCAGTGAAGATGATGTTTGAAACGCCATTAGTCATGAGTGATTAGCAAAGCTTAGTTGTTGAGGTTCTTAAACCCCCTCCAGTTCTGCACAGAGAGGGACATGTTTGTGGTTGTGTTCTTTTTTATCGAGCTCAATTTGTATGGGTTCTGCTTATCTGCAGCCATAACAGGGAGGGAAATTCTCAAGAGTGCTGCAGTTATTAATGATCCTTTAGGGTGCTTAGAGCTCTCTATAAGCTCTCCATTTCACATACTGTATCTCTAAATAAATAAGCAAACTGCAAACTGGTTTTTAACCTCCCTGATGCAACTAATATTCAGGGAAGTGGTGGGCAATCAGGCTTGGGCACTGGATTGTAGCTGGTCCACCCTCAGTGCTCTGGTTGTTGATGGTTTCCCAAGACCCTGCATGTGAACTGATGCTTGTTCCCTCTGCAGAAACCAATTGCTGCCATGTTCATTTAGGGATGAGGGTATTTGCTGGTGTTTCCAATATAGTGAACACCTTTGGTAGGAACAACAGGAAAAGAGGGAGACTGAAATGTGTCAGAAAGATAAATGTTTGTATCCCTTGTAATATTGAAATGCAATTTGAAAGTATTTACAATGAAAATCTGTACTGTATGATATGAATGAGGACATGGTAGCAATTGAGACCTTTAAAAAGTGATTTGTCTGTGCTTCAGCACAGCATCATCTTCATCCCCTGAAGTCCCACAGGAACATCCTACATGAACTCAGCTGGGCATGAAGGAGATACAGACCTTATTGCATGCTGCATCAGCACTTAGGAAGAACTCCACCATGTCTACTTTGGCAATTAAAATGTTACTTTGGGAGAATTAAATTTCTCCAGGTCCAGGAAAACGTTCCAGAAACTAGATGCTCTTATAGCTGAACCAGCCTTTTCCTTCCTTGACAAGGTGTTCCAAGGCTGGTAGTCCACGTGCAGAAGTGCCAGGCAGTAAGACATCTGCCTCCCACCTAAGCTTCAGTTCACATGGAGGCATTGCTAAGTCTCTGCAGGGGTCTCGATCCATTAAGCTTTCTCTAATAAGGATTAATTTGTAAGTACCTCATTAGTTCAACATGAAGTACAGTGGCCATGGTCAAAGTGCTCAGTTTTCCAGCCAGCCATGGGCTCTGACTGCATTTAAAACTGATATTCTGTGTGCATCTCATACTGACTGCAGACATCTAATATTTAACAGTAGCTCAACGAGCAGCACCTACAAGACAAGTATATGTTTTGGGGGAATTCTTCAATGAAAAAGTTCCAACATCATCCAGTTCTTTTACCTCACTCTATCCATGTCCCCCCCCAGTCTCTCCATTACTTAGGTGATGAACACATTCATCTGCAAAGGCAGTGAACACCCAGGCGTCCCAAGGCATTTTCAGGTTTTATATTCAAGCCACGTTAAGCTAGATTTTTGCAGTAAGTGACCACATAGCTGAGGGTTTTCTCCTTGAGGAAAGGGTCACTCAAGGGGAAAGGCAGTGTCCCAGTACACATGACTGTCTAAAGGGGCTGAGCAGGGCTGTCAGAGGAGGCACCCAGGGCCACGGTTTCCGAGTGGCTTCCTTACGTGCACAGGCATGGCTTATCTGATTATTCCAGGCAGTGAACTTGTGCACATACCTTGTAGTTGCACATGCCAGGATAAACTGCTGAGGGATATTCCTGAGCGGCTGGAGGAAACGCAGAGGTTGTGTGTGCAGACAGTGCCCTGTGGAGGGAGGGCTTATTGTGGGGAGGGCCAGTGCTCATCCGACAGGGCTGCCAAAGCCTCGGTCAGCAAACCCCGAGCCAGTGCCCCGGGCACGGCTGCTCGGTGCTGCCAAGGCACCAGCGGGCACAGAGCCCATGATGCTGAGATCAGCCTTAGCAGAAGCCTTCACCATTTCTGCTTATTACACTTCAAAAGAAAACCTAAACCAACTATCAGGGAAGAGGAGCAAACCAGACATTAATGACAGTCACGTACATCACCATTAGATTTACATGAAGGCATATTCAATTGTTTTATGGCACAGATTTTAATCACTTCCTTTTAATGTTTCCTATAACTTGTATTCAAACTTCTACTTAATCAGGCTTTATTTTTCCACCAGAAAGAGATACATAGCTAATAATGGGGAAAAAAATCAGATTTAAAGGTGCACAGTGGTTTAGGTCCTGGTAAGTTAAGCTTTCCCTAAAAATCATTTTTTCTTTCTGAAATCCATAATTACCAATGAAAGGCCATCTTTGAAAGTATAACACGAATAGTTATAGAGTGTTTGAAATAGGTCACAAAAAATGTATGTAGGTATGTAGGCTCTCATAACAGTAACTTTTAAATGAAAAAAGCTCTTTTTTTTAAACATTCTATTCCCCTCTGATGCAAGTGCTGACACCTGCTAGGTTATTTAAGCAGCATGACTTGAATCTTTCTTGCATAGACATAGAGATACAGTTAAACACGTTGAAAATCTATTCTGGAATGTTATTTGTAAAGGAAACCAATTTGTTTTCACATTCCTACCCTGCCATGGAATCCAGCAAAGGTGTATTGATTGAAGGGAAGGGTATTGGGTCAGGGTATCCCATGTGCTGGTCAGTGGCAGGTGCAATAGATGCGATTGTGCTTCCAGATGGCACAGCCCCAGAGCACAGTCTGTGTTACAGGGCTGCAGAGGCAAATCCTGTATAACAGGAGGGCACACAGGAGACTGAAAAATACTGCTTTGCATTCTTTTCAGATTACCCAGGCTATTTACTCCTCAGGGATTCACAAATCTGTGTTACTGTCCTTCAGTGAGCACAGAAAGGGTGGGCTGACTGGTTCCTATCCCCCCCTATTTACTATCTTCTGTCCTTTATTGCAGTGGAGTTTCAAAGGAGTATACAAGTAGCAGTACCCAAATGCAGCTGAAATTCAGTGACTGATTACTTCTCATAGGTTCATTTTAAAGATCCTATAATCAGTAAGGCAAGAGAACTTACTGAAAGAATGGAAAAGACAAAATTAAAACATAGAAAACATAATTTGCCTGAAGTTTTCAAGACAAATGGGTAGATACAGACCATTACTAGAAAATTACATTGTTTTAGTTGCCATCTCACTGTCCACTTTGTGTAGTGTTTATTCATCCCTTTAACTTAATAGAAATACCTGCCTCTGTCATGAGCACCTTGCACAGATTTGATCGTAATTTTTCTTGTTAATAGTTGTCTATTAATATCATGTAGTCCTTAACTTCAGTGACTGCAAAATAGACTGCAAAGAATGTTTCCACTCACTCTTGCAATTTATCATCTGATTCATTAGCCTGACATTCTAGATTGTGCTTCTCTTGTGTCTGATTTGTAGCTAACTTGGGTTTGTTTTCCCTTTTCAGAGAGCAGATATAGCTGTTGCCCCCCTCACCATAACACTGGTGCGAGAAGAAGTCATAGACTTTTCCAAACCCTTTATGAGCCTGGGCATCTCCATCATGATCAAGAAGCCTCAGAAATCTAAACCGGGCGTATTTTCTTTCCTGGATCCTTTGGCTTATGAAATTTGGATGTGTATAGTCTTTGCTTACATTGGCGTCAGCGTAGTTCTTTTCCTAGTCAGCAGATTCAGCCCTTATGAATGGCACTTGGAAGACAGCACTGAAGAACCACGTGACCCTCAGAATCCTCCTGACCCTCCAAATGAGTTTGGAATATTTAACAGCCTTTGGTTTTCCCTGGGTGCCTTTATGCAGCAAGGATGCGATATTTCTCCAAGGTTTGTTCCATGTCACTCCATCACCTTTTTGCATTTTATGGTCATTTTCTGATGCCATGGTGCATATATGTTACTTTTTCAAATTTCTTTTTTAATTCCAAATTTTTTATTTTGAGATTCCATTCAATGTTCAGCATCATCTTCAAGCCACCATGCTTGCTAACATTCACCTCCAGAGTGAGTAGCATTGCTTATAATGCCATTTATGCATTTCTGCCAAACTTATATTCACCATGTTAAGGCTGTAAAATGCATAGGGTTTTCTGTTTTCAGCAATGCTTGGAGGGCTACCGTGTTTTTGCTGCATATCTCATTTTACGGTCATCTCCTTGGTGCATAAAACACATTCTGCTTTGCAAAATAAGAATTATTTATTTTTGAAAGTCACATGCAACAGCACTTTAAAGCATCTCCACTCCCATTAAGGCTCCTGCTAGTCTTTTTGCTTTCTTTTGAGCCTAATTTCTCCTGTTTTGTTTTTCTTGAACCATCCTTTCATCCATTACTAATTTGCTTTCCACCGCATTTTTGCATATATTCAGGTCTGTATTCACTGTGTCTGTACTGCCTTGTATCTGTATCTGTTATTTCAGTCCAGTCTTATCTGTTACCCCTCTGTTCATAGTCAATATGGTCTAATAAGCATTGCCAGTTTCCATAAAGATATTTCTTATTCATGAAGACAGTCTTTCTGGATAAGGCTGTAGTAAAGTATGTTTGACATTAGTTTCAGTGTAACCAAGAACAGTGCTATTAACTATTGCAGACTTAATTTCTGTTTTAAAGAAGTATTTTAAAAAGCAGCTGAGAATAGTGAAGTTCTCTCTGATTGAACAGTGCATTCCACAGATGTTTTTTGAATAACATATAGCATGTTTCTGCATTTACACTGGTAAAATGCTTTAGTGATATGCTTGTGATAAGCAGTAAAATTATCTAGTTTCTTAGTGATGGAGCACTAATTGCATTTTGTATGACAATAATCTAATAATCAGTTTACAGCTATTTTAATTATTCCAAATACCTGCTTAGTACAAACAGGATGCAGTTTTTCCATTTAACAAGGTTGCTATTTAGAGGAAGAGAGGCAGATCTTTTCTAAGCACTGGCATTTGAAATGCACCTTTTTAATCTCCACGTTTATTACCTTTTTTCAATACCTGAATCACTGAAAAGTCACCAGGTTTTCCTGGTCCATATAGTAGTGGGGTTCTTGAGTAGCCCCCATGAAACAAGTGACTATGAAGTTTCATGGGAAAGATCATGATTTTACCTGTTATAGTGTAATAACAATCCTATAAATTCACAGTCGTTGCATATTCACATGTCCTTCTGATGGCAGTGAGATCCAGGACTTTGGTAGTTACTGATGTGTGCCTGGCGATATTTGATGCAAGTCATGCCCACATTTTAAAAGTCTCGACAGCAGCAATTGTATTTCATTCTTACCGAGGAATCCGTGTGTACCCTCTGTAACACACACACGTTTTGCCCTGGCTGTGACCACGTGTCAGTTTTCCCGGTTCCCTGTGCCTGGGTGTGCTGCCTCCCTGTGTGGTTACAGCTGTCGGTCTGTTCCTCCTGTTCACGCTCCGTGTTTCTGCTTTATGCCTAAATCCTGCACTGAAACTTTGCCTAGCTGCTTGCTGTGGAAGGGGATGAGCGGTGATAACATTTAAATTGCTGTTGACCATGTGTGTGCCCAACATAAAGGACCGGGAAATAAGCACTGGGACATCACATGGAAAGCTGCAGGCATCGCACTGTTTCCGCTAGGTCTGGTTATTGACAGTTAAATAGAAGTGCATAGGATTTTTGTTAAGCTCTCATGTGACTCTTTGGTATGTTCAGCCATTTCCCTTATATAACAAGAGGAACATAGTCTGTTTTTTCTTAATAATACCATGATAAGTGCCTTGGATATACCTACAATAAAGAAAAGAGGCAGCAGTATACCTATTTATTTTAACTGTCCATCAGAAGCTATTAGCTCAGTATTAATATATAACCCTTGTTTGAAAGCGTCCAGTTCTTTTGTTATCTTCTATGATAACATTCCAGGCAGTTACATGCATTGTTACTGAAAAGAAAGACAAATTTAATACTTGGGTTTAAATTCCAGAAACACTGTTTCTTTGACCTATATGTTAAGTTGATTAAAATGTGAAATTTCTTTTCCGTAGAAGGGACTATTCCCAAGTATTCCATTCTTAATCCATATCTTTGTAAGGTTATGCCATTCACAGTACATTGACTATATGAATGTTTCATACTATTTTATTGCCATTAAAAGGGGCTTCATTCTTCCATTGTGAGTTTTGTCTGAATAAATTTCTTATATGAGAGCATACAGCACTTGTAGAGAGATGCCGACAAGCAGTCTGGAGAGATCACTTTTGTACTTGCTGATAAAGGCTCTTTCAGCTGCCTTTGTGTGGAACAGCTGTGACATCTAATGACTAGTTAGATCTATCCTCGGTGAGTATGCTGTGTGGATATTCCAGAGGATATATCCCTATACTCTCCTCTCTATATTTAATAGGAGTCGTCTGAACAGAATCAGAGAGCAGCCAAGGGGTGGGGGTTAGTGCATCCCTTGATGGAATCAACACTTATTTCAGCAGTTTTGTTCTGCTATCAAAGGCTGCTGTGTTTTCTGCATAGTGAGCTAAAGCATTGAAAATTCACTTTTGATGGATCAAAAGTAGATTATTAAACTTGCTTTTATGTGAGATGTGTACAGCAAATGGAATCAGGAAAAGACACAGTCAAATTTGTAACACTGTTTTGAGCGAATGTATCTGAAATCTCTATGAGAGCATGTATTTTCATTTTGCTCTTTATTCATGTAGAACAAAGAGGCTAGATTAATTAATTGCTGATGGAAAAAGACAGGGGGTTCATTAAAAACTGCCTCAAGAGGTTGGTCATTTCGAGGGTGTATTTCTAGGTCCCTGTTTTAACAGTAGGAGACTCGAGAGACTCCTATTAAAGGCCATGGGAATGACTTTGTGGGACTTTCACAGTAGCAATGAGAGCCAGGTAACTAGAGATTTCTGAAACTCCCACTGCCATTCCTATGATGGAAGCATCTCAAGCCAGTGCTTTAGATGCTGTTGTTGAGTGTGTTGTGTCCCTGTAGCTGAGGCGAGGGCTGGCTGGGTGAACGAGCGAGGGGCTGGGCTCTCAGGTAACGTGTGCTCAGAATATCAAGGGCTTCTAGACCAGGAGAGTTTGTACCAAAGTTGTTCAGGGTTATTTGTCAGTACAGCAACCACCTTGTGTCGATCCAAAGAGCCCAATTAAAAATTGAGTAGTTGTGAGAAGCTTATTATTTCTGTGTACTATAGGAAATCAAATATGTTTTATGGCCATGAGCAGAAACAAAATTCAAGCTATCTTGATAAATGAGGTTTTGTTTGAATGTATTATTCTCCTGGAAACTGAATGTGAATTTGAATATTTATTTTGTTTTTTTCTCTCATTACTAATTTGCTCTCATTTGACTCCATGCTTCCTTTTAAATTTCCTCTCAAGGTATGCACTCTTCCTTGCTTTTGAAAACACCATCTGACTTTGTTTTGACTATTGAGTTATAATTGTGTTATTCCAGGTCTGTGTTGCTCCTCTCATTTGTTAGCACTCTAATTCACTTTAAAATAATGTCATACAAAGTATCTATTTATTGAGGGGATTGGGAAAACTACATGTTGGGATAAAGCATTAGTTGTTTTGGTTTTAAATTACAACACTACACATGTGAACAGGTGTGTCTTCGTCAGAAAATGTGGTGCTGGTATTAAAAGCTGTGATTGATTTTTCTGTAATTATCTGAGTAGTGGACAAACATTTCTCTGGGTCACAGTACAAACCATATGGTTATTCTCTGATTACCAGCCTGGTGTTCATGTACTAACCCTTTTTCTCCTGCATCCCTCCACACCAGCCCCTGCAGTGGGTATAAGAAGTCTTCGTATCAGCAGATGGCCTGGGGGGAACTGGGGTCCTTTGGGCAAGGAGGCTGCCAGGCCGTGCTTGTCCACGTCCTTGTTCTTCAGTTCTGTCTGTCTATCTGTCTGTCTTTCCTTCAGTGTCAGCTTTGTGGTTTATTTAATTTTTCTTTTACCCCATCCTGTGCTCCCACCAGTGACAGCCATGTCAGCCCAACTTCGTAGTAGCCGCTGTTTAATCTTCCTTCCTGTGCTCATGGGAAGACTCTGGGAGAAACAACTTCACTGTCATCCAGTTTTCTTTCAAGTGACCTCAACTCTTCTGAAAACAGCTCTGGTCCCCTTCTAGCAAGACCCCTCTCTTGCATGTAGGACCCCTGAGGAAGTGCCTTCTTCATCAAGGGATCCCCCCATGCTCCCCTTCCCCTGCCTCTCAGCTGGTCTCAGTTTTTGTCCTGTATCTGTCTGATTTGGTTCATGCAGGTTGCAAGATCTCTGGGGTGAGATATTTTTACCTTTCTTGGTGTATTGGATGCTGTCTGAGCATGCAGCCCAGCACAGAGTTTTTATTGTTGCAGCAGTGTGAGCTTGATGTTTCACTGGTTTGGAAAATGCTTGTCTTCTGCACATCTCCATCCCAGCAGCCCATCTGTCCTGCTAACAGAAGGGGCAGCTGCCAATGCAAGTAAGAAATTTCCTATGGGAAACGACAAGGAGAATGAACACATACTATTTTATTCCCAATGCTTCTACTGAATTTATCAAAATGCTCTGGCAAGTCTTTTTTTCATCTTCCTTTTTCAAGGCCTACCTTAAAGCAACAGGGCCAAGAGAACCTGGAAACTCCAGATAGAGCTAGTTCTGCTGTAGGCAAGTGGATGTTTCATCTGCTGTACCTGCTACCCAAAACCTCTGCTCAGTCTGGCTCTGAAATTGTCTACCTCATGCATGGAGAAGTTCAACTCCAGATCTTCTCTGAGGACAGAAAGTATGTAGTGAAGGAAGGAGCAAAAGTAAGATGAGTTTCACCTGATGTAGCCAGCTGAAAGCAATGGACTGATTTTTAGTGAGGCATCTTGGTTCCCTCCAAAGTCATGAGACAGATGACTTTAGATTTATCCTACACTACAGCAAATGAGATAAATCTCTTTCTAAGTGTCTGTCTCCTCTCTTTCTGTCCCTTGGCTCCAAAGGAAGCTTTAGATGGCGAGTTCAGCAGGCTCTGCTTTGTAGTTGGCTAAAATTGTGTTAGCCCATGTAAGAGGCTGATTCAGTGTGTAGGGTATCAAGTTGTACTAAATAGCTAAAGCCAAGACCCTCCCTGGTAAAGGAACTGACCAGAAAGAACTTGAGCCCTCTGTAAAATCCAAAGATATTCGCCTGATACCTACAAGGGATGTAGAGAGAGGTGGAGAGATTCCACGACTTCATGCATAATTCTGTATTTATATTTCTTCAAATTCCCTTTGCAGCCACTCAGTAGACTTCTGTTAGTGAGCACAGCAGCTACACAGCCCAAGCTGAAACTTGGAAGCCTTTTGTCTTCTTGGGGGCCTTCAAGACAGGCAGGGAAGCCTCCTCTGATTCTGGGTGATCCGGTTGATGTGTGTCTGCCCTGAGGAACCAGCCTGCATCTGCCCTCTTGGTGGGAGCTTCTGCTTCAGCTCCTTGGGCAGAGGAGAGTGGAGAACAGTAGAGCTTCACCTCTGTGTTTCTTCTCCACATTCCTCTCACCTATTCCAGATTCATTTCTCTGTTTTTATTGTGTTGGCAATTTTTTTAGTTTGTTATGTTCTTTAATGTTGGATGGATAATTTTTTTTCTTTCTTTTATTTCTTAATAATTTAATGGCTTTTTTTTAATGGCTCAGGCAATCTCAGGCTCTGGCCAAGACTGGGCAGTTTACCAGCAAAACCCCACTATGTGGGTGGGGTGGGGGCACGTCATGAGACTTTTGCTTTTTGCCTACCTCCATCTGTTGGTAGGACAACTTGTACCCACTGTCTGGGGATGGCACTGAGGGGTTTGAAGGAAACAAATAATCAGGTAAGAGTTTTCTTGCTTTTTACTTCTTCTCTTCACACAAACTGAGGACTACACCACCCAGGTTCCACCAATGTGTCCGGGATTATTTCTCCACGTAGCAGAGCTAAGGGAAAACATATGAAATAGCTTTGTGTCAGCACCTGAAATGATTCTTGGTCAACATGCTGTTTGAAGGACAAGCACTGTACGTGGCAGTGACATTCCCCACCCGGCTGAGTGACATGGCACTGGCATCCTTCAGCCCAGGACAAATACTTTGAGCCTGATGTTCAATTCCTGTAAAGCATCAGGAGCTCTTACTGACAGGATCTAGACCTCCTGACCATTAGGCATTTTGTGATTATATGTTTGCAGATAGGCTTTTTTTTTAATCCTTATTGGATGCCTTTAAAAAACCTCAACAAAACCAAAACAGTTATTTTTTTTTCTATTTCCTTCTCCATTGCTCTGGTGGTTATAAATCAAGAATATGCTTGACTTGGAACAGTGCAACATGCGAATTTTCATTAACATAAAACATAAACCAAACCAGCCTCTCTCCTCACTTCAGTATGCAGATTCAGTCTGTAATTCCTGCTCAGTTGTGGTGAGAGAAGGATACTGCATCATTTTTTGGTGTATTCCTTTGCATGTTTGCTCAAATTCCTTTTTGCAGTTTACTGTATCTTACATTTTGGGAGTTGATGCAGTAAAAAGTGCATTTGTGTCCTCCAAGCTGGGCAGCCCCCAAAGAGAGACAATACCAGCATATCACAGCAGGCAAGTCCAGCGCAGGGAAAGATGGGCACATGGAAAAGACAAAGGTCTTGTGACAAAAGCCTTTCCAGCAAAGTATTTGTGGAAGTCAGGAGAGCTTGTTCCTCTCCAAGCCTCAAATGAAGTATTTCTTAATTGACTGTCCTTGTTTTCACTGAAAGGCAAAGGGATTTTCACTAGATAAGACCAGATGCGCTTGAGTTTTCTCTCTGATGAAGGCTCTTAGGAGCTGGCTCACAGTCCACCTGTTCACAGATACCTGGAGGATCTGGACAAAAGGGTTGTGCATGTGAATTTCTCTTCAGTGAAGAAGAAAAAAATCAAGGAATGTCTTCAAAGCAATTTGATGATGTGTGTTTTTCCATAGATCTCTCTCAGGGCGAATTGTCGGAGGAGTCTGGTGGTTCTTCACTCTCATCATTATCTCTTCCTACACTGCTAATCTCGCTGCCTTCCTTACGGTGGAAAGGATGGTTTCACCCATAGAAAGCGCAGAGGACCTGGCTAAACAAACCGAAATAGCCTATGGCACTTTGGATTCAGGTTCAACCAAAGAATTCTTTAGAGTAAGTCTGTTCAATCTCCACTAGAGTTTTTCTGATCTGTAAATGCCTAATTTATGGGTTTCAGTTGTTTGGTTTTACCCAGCTGTAATAGCTGTTCTGGTGAAAGCTGCTTTGTGCAATCAGGACAGGCCTGAGTGCAGATTTTAATATCAAAATGCATTTTATCAAAAATGAGTGGTTTTGCTCAACCTGAAACATGCCAAGATGGAAATCTGACCTCTGCATATCATGCAAAAGGTTTTGTAACACCAGTTCCAGAACCTCGGTCTGATGAGCAATAATGCAGTCGTTAGCACAATATTTAGCAGAGAAAACTCTTTGTGAGGAGTGATGCTCTTGACCTACTTGCTCTGCGTGCCCAGCTGGCAGCCGGTAATGCCATCCGACATCGGTGCTCACTTGCCAGAACGAAAGGGGGATGGGAGACGTGTTGCTGCTCATTTCTATTGGTGCATTGATTGCTGCCATTGTTGTTTCTGTGTCTTGCTCGCTCACCAGCGTCTGGCTGTGGCCCTGTCAGGCAGTCAGAGGTAAAACTTCTGTAGCCCAGAACACTGGGGTGTATTCACCTTGGTTAGAGAAATGCTGGGTTTGCCACATATGGGGGTACAGGGGGTGCACACTTTTATTTACAATCCTTTCTCTCTGCTCTTGCCAAGCCACAAGCTGAACTGCAGAGAGTTTGGTGAGGGGCATTAAGAACTCTAAATATGACCTCAGGCCACTTTTATGTCTCTGAAAACGTTGTCCTGAAAAGCTCTTATTTCTGGGCTTCCAAGGGCAAACTGAAATGCTCGGCCCTTTCAGGGTTCTCTCTCAGCGGTGCCAATCAGGTGCCATTCAAACCAACATTTTTTTTGTATAGAAAAGTGGTCAGTGCTGCAGGACTAATTGCTGCCTGTCACGCTTGCTGGCCAGGTGCAGGGGGGAGGGAGGAGGCAGACAAAAAACCCTTGCTGCTGTAGGCTGATGAAATACCGAGGGCTCCTTGAATAAATCCTGAGGGCTCCTTGGATTTACTTAAAATTTCAATACATGACAACACATACATGTATGTACATCTAATGTAAAGATGGAAGTGAATGCAAAGGTATTTTATGAAGCTTTTGTACTCTGCCTTACCTACATGTAATGTCTTTACATTCAGATGGATACTCAGTAGTTCTTAATTAACTGTTGTAGCTGGTACATTACAAAGGCTTCTGTTTGTGTTAAAATCCTGTGAGGTAAACACTGACCTTGTAAGGGTGACATTAACGTATAAAAAGTTTTGTTCCATTTAATTATCAGCCTGAGGCAGTGTTATCTGCACAGCAAAAATTAGTTGAGTGGACCTGTCAGAAGAGGTAGTACAACTTGATTAGAAATATTGGTTCTGTTTATAGTCACTATACTGTTCTTAGAGGGAAAAATATCTTCTTTTGAATATCATGTTACTGTTAATACAGAAAGAGGGCTTGTATAGGGGTGTTTCTTCATTTCCTTAATAGTTTGACACAACAAGGAAATCCCTTCTCGTGAAGAGATCAAAGGAGTGAGTGTTTTGTGTGAAAGGATACAAAGTCTGGTAAATGTATGAGTACTTTGTTGTGCTGTTGATAGTCTTGAGATGAGCTGTGACTCTCTCCTGGTGCTGGGGAAAGCAGGGCTGTAAATGAGGCTGATCTGTCAGGAGCTGTCAGCTCCATCTGGCCAGGAGAGGAGTCAGATGGGGATGGAGGAGAGCAGAGCCCTGGTAGTGTGAAGTGAGGTTGGATGGGCCAAGTGGGAAGAAGAATGGGCCCTAAGTGGTGCTTCTCTCTCTTCAGCATTCTCAAGGCACACAACATAATTTCAGTTGTATTAACTTTTGCAGAGTAATTAATTTGAATAGGGTGATGCAGCCATGAAAGTGTTGTAATTAGAGTCTTCTTCAGTTGATTTGAAAAGGGCAAAAGCTTTGCCTTAGATTAAATGTGTATGTTCACATAAATACTAAATTGTACAGTCTTTATTAGTTACTTAATGAGAGGGTAATGGTGGCTGAAACTTGAAATAAGTCCTAGAGGACTCTGGGCTTCTGAGATCCTACAGCACAGACTGCACATCTCTGTGTTTTAGGGGATTTGTTCTCCCTTGGCAGATCTTTTTTCACTGCTTCTGGAACATCAGTGGGAGTGATGGTACTCTGAGTCAGAAAAGCCATGGGTTTTCCTGGGTACAGGGTGATGCTTATGCCCTGCGTAAGGGGAATATCCTCTCTCACCCATTCTCCCCCAGCATTTAGCCAATTTAAGCAGCAGTTGGCTGAGTGGTTCAGGATCAGGTGCCCAGTAAGAAAGGAAGTTTTAACTGAGGGAAAGGTGCATGAGGAAGTTAGTGCAATCCTTGTTTACACCAGTTGCCCATGCCTATCTATACACTCTGGCTGTGGCATGTGTAGGTAAATCTTCCCTAGAGATGGGGGAAGTTACCTGGCTGCGAGCAGATGGTCAGCACATGTGTAGATGCAGCAAGAACAGTAACTATCTCTTCATAGAGCTGTAAGGCTAAAATGTTTCTCAAAGATATTAGTCAGATATTGATCTTAATGGTTACTGTTGGCCAGAGAAAGGTGCCAACAGAAAGGAAAAATTGCCTCCTCACACATCATAGAGGGAGCTTCAGATCCCCACCGTGTTGTCTGCATGTGCTTAGAAGGAGCTCCTTCAGAGCCTTCAGGCCATGGCTCCCTTCTGCCAACCCCATTTCCAGATAGAATCATTTTTGAAGGTCTCCTTTACAGTGTAAATACCTGTGAATACCTGAAACTGGAGCCATACCAGCCCCTCAATTCAGATGAACAGATGGTAATGACTTTCAGCCACTTCAGGCCTGGGCAGACTCCAGCCAGTGACCTATTTTACAGTCCTGGCGGTTTCCCTGAGCATCGCAGTGTCTCCCGGGGAGACGCTGTCCCAGCTATGTGGGTTCAGCTGGATACACCGTGGCTGTTCCAGGCAAGCACGGGGACTGCTGTCGGCCTGACACCGCTCTCACAGTCCAACCACAGCTGGTTTGTTGTAACAGCTTCACAGCAGACACTATTCACACTTCTCACTTGTTGGTGACTCTCTGTGTAAGGGAATTTGTCCTCCCGGTGTATCTGAGAATCAAAGGAACCTTCCTGTGTTTTCGTGGTTGTTGCTTGTTTCTGCTCAGAAACATTTTACATTTTGCACTAATTAGCTTATAAAGGCATTTAAATGGCAATCAATAGATTACATCAATTCCCTTTTGGCTTTTAAAGGGCACTCATCCATATTGAAAAGGAAAAGAAAGAACCTCTCCTTAGTTATTTATTAACACACAGTCCCAAATTAACAATGCCAAAATACCTCTTTCTCTTTCTTGAGCACTGGTGGAGGCCTGTACGAAAAAGCAGTTTAAAATCACTAAACTACTGCTTTTAAGGGTGTAACTGTTAGAATTATCTTCTAATACATTCAATTAAAGTTTCAGCATATCTGAGCAGCTTATCAAATCAATATAACACCATTTAATCTAAATTCAGCACTGAGCCTAAGTATAATACCACAGTCTAATAGGTTTCACCTCCAATATGCATATATTCAAAAGGCATGACCTTTACAACCAATTAGTAATTCTTGTATAAACTTGGCTGTATTTGAACTTCAGTAGAAGTAGAACGAGTTTGTAGACATTTAGAAATCTAAATTACCCATGAATTTGTGGTGGCTTAATTGATAACAGATATGAGTGGTGAGAGACTTCTGCAAAATAACTTGCCAAGTGTGTGTTTGATCAGTGACAAACACAGCTGACCTGCTGGTACACTTCACTGAGAACCTGAAATTTCAGAAGGTGCCCTCCAAGTTTATCTGGTGTGATCAGGCTCTACAGGAAACAGTGAGGCAGGTAACATGTAGCAAGATCTTCTTCCTTTTGTGGCAATTGCAGGTGGCTCATATCACACCATTACCAATGTAGGTAATCACCATTAACTAAAACTAAGGAAAAAGAAGGTCTCAAAGGAATGTTGTTTTATTGTAGAAATTTTTTATTTGTATATTTCTCAGCAATAGTTTAAGGATGTCTCCAACCAAACAACTCAGCTATCCAGTGGCTCTCCCATGCCTCGGGTGAAAGGACTTACTGCCCTGAAGTCAGTTCCTAATTTTTTTCTCCTGGAAATGTCATTAGTTGCCTTTCCTCTGGTGATAAGGTTGTGTGAAGATGAGACTGAAATAAATTCCACCAACAAGCAGTTTAGGTAAGGAAAAGCCTTGGGTTATACACCCATAGCTGCTGTGTGATTTTTATGCATTCTGTGCAATTGAGCGATATTGAGATCATCATTAGAGCCTATTAAAAACACCATCATGAACTCTGTGTGTGCTGTGCTAAGGATTTCATCTGTAGTTAAACTCTTTGATTTTTAATTTCAAAATTTATTTTACTAGTGAAGATGAAGGACTTGTTTCTAGCACAGCACTCACACAAATGCTGTGCTTTTGCCTTTGGATAAAACTATGATTAGCAGTTTGAAGCTTTCTGTGTTCTTGACATGGAGCAAAACAACACAGTCATCATAACAAATTCCTGACAAAAATATTGAAGTGTGATTGTATTTATGGGCTTTAAAGAACAGAACATCACAGAAAAGTGATAGCTTCAAATAGGAGTTGTATAGATCTTTGATAGGCAATGTGGTAGCAATTAATCAGAAAAAATACTGTGGTTTAACTGTTTTTAAACACAGGTGTGAAAATTTTATTCACCCATATATTCTCTCTCCCTTCCCTGTTTACAGGTGGGAGTGTGCAGAAATATTAAAAGGTGAATGTATGTGTGCAGAGAGATCACAGCCTCCCCATTGCATGGATGATAGATAGTCTGCTTGTGGGGTTCTTTTAATCTCTTGAACCTCCTTTCTGCCACATGGCCAACAGGCAGTTTTAGAGGCAGCAGGAAATCAAATGTGACATAATTACAAAAGAAATGGTTTCCCATGAAGTGAT